ACCATAAAGTAAAATAGTCATCGAAAGAATCCACCTGAAAGAGATCTCAAAATTGAAAATGCCAAGGAATGTTGTAGCAAAATTCCAAAAATACCAGATCAAAAAGAAAATACTGCAAGGAGCCAGAAAGAAACAATTTAAATATCATGGAACCACAGTCAGGATTATACAGGACCTTGCAGCTTCTACATTAAAAGATCAGAAGGTATGGAATATGATATTCCATAAGGCAAAGGAGCTTGGATTACAACCAAGGATCAACTACCCAGCAAAATTGAGCAAAATCTTTCAAGGGAAGAGATGGACATCCAATAAAATAAGGGACTTCCAAGCCTTCCTGATGAAAAGACCAGAGCTCAACAGAAAATGTGATCTTCAAATACAAGCCTCAAGAGAGACATAAAAAGGTAAAGAGGAAATAAAAAAACAATATGTTATTAATAAGGGCAAACTTTTTACATCCCTACAATGTAAGATGACACTTGTAACTCTTGAGAAGTGTATAGTTATTATGACATTTAAAATGGGTATACAGAGACAGAGGGCAAGAGTATAAATTGACTTTGATGTGATGATAAAAAAATCTAATTCAGTGGTGAAAAGGGATTGTTCTGGGAGAAGAGGCAAGGAACAGGCAGACAAAGGTAAATTTCATCACATGAAAAGGAATAAAAACCTTATGCAGCAGAGGGAAAGAAGGGAGGGAAATGAGCATCATTTGAATCTTTCATCAAATTTGGCTCAAAGAGGGAGTAACATAATCAGTGAGGTATAGAAATCTAACTTGCCATATTTAGGAGAGGAAAGGGGAAAGAAAAGGGATGGGGTGGACAGAAGGGAGGACAGACTAAGGGAAGTAGTGCTCGAAAGCAAAATTCTAGGTGAGGAGGGAAAGGGAGAAAGCAGAGAAAAGCATAAACAGGGGAAAACAAGATGGAGAGAAAGACAGAGAATAATCATAAGTGTGAATGTGAATGGCATGAACTCTTCCATAAAACAGAATAGATAACAGAGTAGATTAAGAACAGTAATCCTAAAATATGTTGTTTAAAAACCTAGAAAGTAAAAAACTACTTGAAATAATAAACAATTTTAGCAAAGTTGCAGTATATAAAATAAACTGACATAAATCATTGGCATTTCTATATATTACTAACAAAGCCTAAGAGCAAGAGAAAGAAAGAGAAATTCCATTTAAAGTTACTGTAGACATAAAATATTTGGGAGTCTACCTGACAAAACAAACCCAGGAACTATGTAAACATGATTCCAAAACACTTTTCACACAAATAAAGTCAGATCTAAATAACTGGAAAAACAACAGCTGTTCATTAGTAGGCCGAGCCAATATAACAAAAATGATGATTCTACCTAAGCTAATTTACTTGTTCAGTGCCATACCAATCTAACTACCAAAAAATTATTTTATAGAGCTAGGAAAAAATAATAACAAGATTAATCTGGAAGAACAAAAGGTCCAGAATATCAAGGGAACTAATAAAAAGAAATGCATGGGAAGGTAGCCTAGCCATACTAGATCTTAAATTGTATTATAAAGCAGCAATCATCAAAAGTACTTGGTACTGGCTAAGAAATAGTGTGGTGGATCAGTGGAAAAGATTAGGTACCTAAGACACAGTAGTCAATGACTAAAGCAATCTACTGTTTGATAAACCCAAAGACCCCAGTTTCTGAGACAAGATTTGTCACTATTTGACAACAACTGCTAGGAAAACTGGAAAACAGTATGGCAGAGACCAAAATCTTAGACCATATACCAAAATAAAGTCAAAATGGGTACACAATTTAGATACTATAAGCAAACTGGGAGTCTAGGAATAGGTTATCTGTCCAATTCATGGAGAATGGAAGATTTGATGACCAAACAAGAGACAGAGAACGTTATAAAATGCAAAATGGATCATTGTGATTAAATTAAATTCAAAAGGTTTTGCATAAACAAAGCCAATGCAACCAAGATTAGGAGAGAAGCAGAAAACTGGGAAAGAATTTTTACAACCAGTGTCTCTGATAAGAACCTCATTTCTAAAATACATAGAGAACTAAGTCAAATTTATAAGAATACAAGTCATTCCCCCAATTGATAAATGGCCAGAGGATATGAACAGGCAGTTTTCAGATGAAGATATTAAAGCTATCTCTAGTCATATGAAAAAATGCTCTAAATCACTATTGATTAGAGAAATGCAAATCAAAATGACTCTGAGGTACCACATTAGACTGGCTAACATGACAAAACAGGAAATGATAAATGTTGGAGAAGATGTGGGAAAATTGGAACACTAATGCATTGTTGGTGGAGTTGTGAACTGTTCCAACCATTTTGGTAAGCAATTTGGAACCATGCCCAAAGTGCTAAAAAATTGTGCATACCCTTTGACCTAGCAATACCACTTCTAAGGCTGTATCTCAAAGAGATCATAAAAATGGTAAAAGGACCCACATATACAAAAAATATTTATAGCAGCTCTTTCTGCGGTGGCCAAGAACTGGAAACTGAGGGAATGCCCATCAACTGGGGAATGGCTGAACAAACTGTAGCATATGAATGTAATGGAATACTACTGTGCTATAAGAAATGATGAGCAAGCAGACTTCAGAAAAACCTGGAAAGACTTGTATGGACTGATGTTTGATGAAGTGAGAAGAACCAGGAGAATGTTGTACATAGTAACAGCCACCTTGTGTGATGACTAACTTTGATAGACTTAGCTTTTCTCAGCAACACAAGAATCTAAGACAACTCCAGAAGACTCATGATGGAAAATGCTATCCATATTGAGAGAAAGAACTATGGAGTCTGAATACTGATCAAAGTATACTATTTGCTCTTTTTTTCCTTCTGTTTTGTTTTGTTTCTTCTTTCTTGTGCTTCATCCTATTGGTTCTAATTCTTCTTTAAAACATGACAAACACAAAAATGTTTAATAGGAATGTATATGTAGAGCTCGTATCACATTGTAAGCAGTCTTTGGGAAGTAGGTGGAGACAGAAGGGGAGAAAATTTAAAACTCAAAAGCTTATGGAAGCGAGTGTTGAAAACTAAAAATAATTTAATTTAAAAAAAAAGAAATGAGCAGAACCAAGAGAACATTGTACACAGTAAAAGCCACACTGTGCAATGACTGACTTTGATAGACTTAGCTCTTCTCAGCAATACAAGTACCTTAAAGAACTCCAAAAGACTCAAGATGGAAAGTGCTATCCACATCCAGAAAAAGAACTTTGGAGTCTGAATGCAGATGGAAGCATACTATTTGCTCTCCTTTTTTTGTTGTTGTTTTGTTTTGTTTCTTCTTTCTCATGGTTCCTCAAATTAGTTGTAATTCTTCTTTACATCACGACTAATGAGAAAATATGTTTAATATGAATGTATAAGTAGAGTCTATACCAGATTGCACGCCATCTTGGAAGTGGGCAAGAGAGGATGGGGGAGAAAATTTAAAACTCAAAATCTTATGGAAGTGAATGTTGAAAACTAAGAATAAATTATTATTTTTTTAAAAAGAATTGCTAACTATTAACAACTACATGAAAAAATGCTCCAAATAATATAAAATAAAACAACCCTAATGTTTCACCTCGCACCCCGCAAATTGCCAAAGATGAAGAGAGGATTAGTCAATGTTGAAGCAGTTGTGGAAAGATAAATACACTATTATATTGCTGATCAAACTGTGAATTAGTATAAACATTTTGTAAAGCCCTTTGGAATTATGAAAATGAAACAAGTAAAATGTCTTGGCCCAAAGATTCCACTGCCAGAAGCTAATGAAACCATTGATTTAAAAAAAAAAAAGGCATCATATAGAGAGAAATATTTAAAGCAGCACTTATTGCGGAAGGAGAGAAACAGAAATATATACTCAATAAATTGGGGAATGGTTACATAAACTGTGGCACATGAATGTAATGGAATATTAGTTACTTTGTTGTAAGGGAATTAATATTCTAAATATGAGAGGTATGGAAAAACTTAAATAAACCGATACTATACAAAGCCAGCAGAGTTTTAAAAACAATAATATGACTACAACAATATAAATGGAGGTAATAATAACCATAAGCAAAATTATAAGGCATAACACTGGCCCCACAAAAGAGAGATGAGAAGATACCTCCTTCCCATTTGTTTGCAGAAGTTGAGAGTCCACAGGTGTGGAACATAACTGTCAGATTTGTTTTCCAAGTACTGATTGGTTTTTGCCAATTTATTTCTCTTCATGTTCTTTTTTCTTTAAATTTTTTTTTTATTCTCTAGGAAGGGGAAAAAGGTTTGGAAGAAGGAAAGATATAGGGGAAATTCAGGCAACATAAAAACAAAAGATATCAATAAAAATGTATTTTAAAAAATAAAATAGTAGTGAAATTCCTACTAAGTCTGACAGAATTTGTCTCTTCCATGTGTAATTGCTTTTTGACATGAAAACTTCCCTTTAATATTAAAAGGTAACACTGGGCCCCTAACACATGTAAAGGTTAGTATAGTGTAAAAAAATACTAACGAATACAGAAGTGAATCAAAGAAATATCTTTTATAAAGTACTATTACTTCATCTCCCGCTATGCTTGTCATACAAATGTCCACTTTTAACATAGGTGATTTCCCTCATAGTACAGAAAGCCAACAATACTAAGGTTTTTATCAGAGGCTATTGTACATTTTTTAAAATAAAAAATTCTAAAATTCAGTTAACTATCATTTGCACCAATGTTTTAAGATATGCAAATTATTTATGTATATTACACACCAATATATATCCACCTTTCTGGTTTTGGTTTCCATAAATGTAAAAAAAAAAAGGGATCACCTTGTTCTTCTTGGTTGAATGATTTCAATTCACTCTGTTACACAGTTCACTAGGCTTTCCACAATTCAAATTTAATCTCACATTTCTACTTAATATATCTTTAAGGCACCAAGTATCCTTTGTAGGTGGCACACTAACTTAATACATACTAAAAAGAAAACAATTTACCTGGAAAGGCACACTGTAGAAGAGCTATCGATTTACCCCCAGGAGCAGCACACATATCCAAAATTCTTTCCCCATTTTGTAATTCCAGAGCCAACACTGGGAGAAGGGAGGCAGCATTTAGAAGATAATATCCTTTAAGTTTACCAAACTGATGTCTCTCTGAAGGTATTCGTCCAGGAATTCTACTAACGTAGCATATGAGTGATTTAGGACAGTTGGGAAAATATCCTTGAAGAAGGGTGTGATATCTCTTCAGTTGCAAATCCTTCTCCAGTTCGAAAGGATAGTTGAATCTATTAAAAAGGACTGCATGTTGCCAACATGCTGGAGATGTTAAGATATCCCTAGAAGTAGAAAAAATTAGGAAAAAGATTAACATTACAGACATTGATTTTTAAAATAATTATTAATTATAAAGTATAGTATAGAGTATAGATCTAGTGTTCAATTAATTCCAATGTCTGCCTAATACTTTCATGATCAAACATTAATGTTCTTTGCCATTTAAAGCTCCTTACAATCTGGCTCCTTCCTCACTTTCCAATCTTTTTATATTCCATTGCCTTCTATTATCCATCCATATTGATCTACTTGCTGTCCTTCATGCAAGATACTATTTCTTATCTCTGGGCTTTACACTGACTGTTACCTACAACTATAATGTTCTCTTTGCCAATCTCAGATTCTTAGGATCCTTGGTTTCCTTTAAGACTCAGTTCAATACCACCTCCTCTAGGATCCTACCAACCAGGAATGTTATTCCATGTAAAGTTAACTTTCATCTACTCTGCATGTGACTCCTTACTTCTGATTTATATTCATGGTGCACCTCTATCTAAACATAAACTGCTTGAGGGCAGGTGCTGTTTTTGCTTTTTATTTATCTACTTAGCATTTAGTGTTAAGCCTCTAATGAGCACTTAGTAAATTGATGATTCTGGACATTTGTGCTTCAGTTTTTGTCTTTTTCTTAGACCTGTGATTTCATTTTTACAAGGAATTCCTCATGAGTAAACTCATATCAATGTAGATTAGTAACTGTTCTATAACTTACAATTTTTGACAGCTGTCTGGAAATTTAAGGTTTAAGTGTCTTGCACAGAATCACACAGCCAATATGCATCAGGTACTGAACTTGAAGTCACATCTTCCTGATTTGGAGGTTAGTTCTTTATCCACTACATCATATTGCTTCTCCATGCTTCTATTAATGAATCCCAAACTTTTATTAGTTTTTTTTGGTTATCACACCACGTTGCTGATTTGTGTTGAGCTTGTAGTTCACTAAAAACCCCAGGATGCTGATTGCTACAAACTACCTCTTCCTTATCCTGTACTTGTATAGATGATTAAAAAAAAATCTAGTATAGGACTTCAAACTTATCCTTATTAAGTGCTCCCTTACCAGCTTTATCCTTTTGGTCTAGTCCAGAGATTTCAAACACTCAGCTCTCCCTGAAGTGTGCTGAACCAGACTGCAATGTAATTGTAATATTTAACAAAATGCATTTTAAAAAATAGGACACAGATAATGTTAATGTGTAGTTTTCTAAGTCAATATGTGGTACACAGTGTTCCTTACATAAGATTTAGTAGCCCCCATTTCTATTTGGGTTTGATATCACTAGTGTAGTCTGCCAGAATCTTTTGGGCATAAAGGTCTATTAATCACCACAGTAACTACTGCTCCTAATATCCTGTCACACATAAAATAAGATCAAGTATAGAGCCCTAGACCACTCCACTATAAACACCCTTTCACATTAACACTAATCCATTTGTCATTACTCTTTGGGTCTACGCACATCAATCAGTATCAGATTTTATTTAGGATAGTAGATATAACTTGACATCTCCACTTACCTTCGGTTTTGTTTCCCTGTTAACCATTTTTCTTCTTTTTCCTAATCTAAAGTTCATTCGTCTGGGAAACAAAACAGGACCTGCATAGTCCTATCTCCTTTCCTTTATAAGATATCATTGACCAATCTTTCCCTTCTTCGGATATTTCTCTTGCCACAACCATCAAAAAGGTCTTTTCTGTCATCTTTAATACTCATTGCAAGCTCTGTTTGTTCTCTATTTCAATGTTCCTAACATTTTATAAGAACAATGTCATACTTTTTGTATTCATCCTCAATCACATATCCTTACTTCTCTCTTCTGATTACTTTCTTTAAAATTTGAGTCAGTTACTTCCCTATGTCTCAAAATGCATTTATTTAACCAGTTCTCCCTTATCTTCCTCATCATTTACGCAGTAAAAAATTCTTCCTTGAGATTATTTTATTCAAGAAGCTGGATTCCCCCACAGAATTTTAGGTTATGGGACCCTACTCATCCTCACTCTGAAATCTTTGAAAATCTGCTCTCTCAAATATTTTCTCTTTCCCTATGTGGAAAACTAATTGGCACATACAAAATTTGAACCCTTGACCTTGACCTCATCAGCAGCAGTTAGGTTAATCTATTCAGACATGAACTTTCCAACCAGCATAAAAGTGAGTCATCATGAAACTCACAAATGACAAAATTTCTTTCAGCTACCTGCATATGTTAAATGCTTATCTTCATTCTCTTCTGTCTTTTTAAAATGTTTTGGAGTTATTTTTTCCTAGACAAAATGAAGTTCAAAATAAAGGCAGTGATGAAGGAGGAAATAAAGAGAAAAAAAGATGATGCCCTTTGAAGGGAAACTTAAAACAGGAAAATCCACAAGGCAGTATAGTCTTAAAATAGTATTTTATAATCTCAGAAATTAAATGCTATGCACTTAGTTTCTCACTTGAAAAAATCAGAAAATGTTTATTAAGCTGTAGTTAATTCTGTCAGCCACAAAAATCTTACTGGTGTCAGTAGGAATTAAAGCAGGTAGCTAAATCCAGTTAGAAACATTTGACTCAAAACTCACTTCAAAGTAGGGAATTCTCATTAGTCTGACTTAGTTCCTCCTTCCCACTCGAATTTAAGACAAAGTAGAATAGCTTAGTTCCACTCCCCATAAAATTAGACTAATACAATTTGCAAAGTACCTTCATTTCCAAATTATCATTTTCTGGCACTTTCTCTGGCAGAAATAAAACTTCATAGTATTAATAAAATTTTTATACTAACCTTATTGTAATCCATGAATCTCCAAGTTCTTTGATATACTGCTTTTCAAAATGATCCAACACAACTTTGCAAATCTGTTTTGTAAGCTTCCTTTCTGACTGTGGTTTCAGCTATGACATCGAAACAAGAAAAATATAACTGAGATATATTGGAGTTATTTCATATTTATTACGCCTAGACCATACAAAAAATTGTGGAATTTTTCTAACTATTAATAAAATATTTTCAATTGCTTCTCAACAATTTTTTGTTTTTGCCAGGCAACCCAGGTTAAGTGACTTACCCAAGGTCACACAGGTAGTGTCAAGTGTCTGAAGGCCAAATTTGAACTCAGGTCCTCTTGACTGGAGGGCCAGTGCTCCATCGAAGGAGCAACCTACCTGACCCTTCTTGCTAACAATTCTTGAAAATATAGGTGCAACATTAAGCTTCAAAAGCACAGAATTAATATGTTCTTTAGTACTAAGTGGTTAACAAAATTGAAATAACCTTTTGGAGTGCACTGGACTTAGAATAAATTTGGGTGCCATTAATTGGTCTGTCTTTGACAGTGCTCTAAGAATGTGAACATTAAAATTTCAGGCTAAAAAGGTCCTTAGAGATCACTAGGTCAACCCTATGCCGTTTTTGTAGATGAAGAAACTGAAGCCCAGAGAAGTGACTTACCCAAGCTCATACAAGTTAATTGTGAGAGTAGTGGTGAGAGGCATTAATATTAATTGTGAATTTATTTTATATTTCTCCCATAATTCACTCAACGCTGAAATATGATCCTCCAGATAAGCTAATAGAGAATAAAGGAAAACTAAATACATTAAGGAAAACCCTCATTAAAGTTCCTGTAGAAATTCAGGTACAATCCTGTGAGAAGCTGATGTGATTGATGAGATAATATCGTTATTTTTTAAAACACTATGTGTCGGCTATTATTACTATCTAATAATAAGCCAGATTCGAAAGGCTGCCGGAGGAAAAAGTAATCAATGCAGAGCATTATAGTTTACGAAGCACTTTACATATATTGTCACTTGAACATCGCAATAACCCCTCAAGAGAGAGATTATATACTATTATTCCAATTTTTAAAATGGAAAAAAACGGAGGCAATGAGAAGTTAACTGGTTGGCTCGGCGTCACAGGCAGAATCCTCCTGACTCGAACCCAGGGCTCTCCGCCCAAAGCGAGCCAGCGGCTCCGAAGCTGGTCTCTGGGAAGCAAGCAAGTGCTAGCCTCCGCAGCATCGCGGTCACGGGGGGAGTCACAGTCGAAAACCGAGACAGTTCCTGCCGGACTACAAAGCAGGCCCCGCGAAGCGGCCAGCCCTGCAGCGTGGACGGATGTAGGTGGACGGAGGAGGTACACGGTTCTCACCCGGCTCAGCACCATCCCGTCCAGAGCAGCACCCCTACGCCGACCCGGCGGTGACGAGCAGCAGGGCTCCAAAGCAGCTCACTGAACACGCATGCGCTTTCCAACGCTGAGGCCTGGAAAAGATATTGCGGGGCACAATTCGGCGGTCCCAAGCCCTTCCGCCCAGACTACGCCTCGCCCGTCCCCCGCCCAACTCTCGTGCTCTTCGCCCGCCCAGTTCCCCTGGAAAGCGGGACCTCCTCAGAGAGCAAACCTCTCGGGTGACCTCCCATCCCGCGATATTCTTGGAACCTCCAGAGAACGTGCGCTTCCGTCATCACCCGGCGCCACAGGTTGAAAAGTTTTTACAGAGTCTGGAAAAGCGGGTTCCGGAGTTTCACACGCGAAATGTAGTAAGAAAGAGACACAGAAAGGGGGAGATGAGCCCTTAAGTACAGGTTTGTGATTAAATCTAGGGCTATTTGACGAAGGGTTCCGTTTTGTATTTTCCCACTGAGTGGTCCTTTCCTCGATAGTAAACCTTTACGTAGAATTCAGTGCGCTCTTGGGTCTGGGTCTGGGTCTGGGTCTGGGTCAGGTGGGGCATATTGCCTTGAGAGAAGACACTGCTTCTTTTCAAACAAGGATTTAAAGTTAATTCTTAATTTCTGGCAGTATCATAAAGCTTTTCCAATTTGGTAGAATTATATTTCTTTAGTTTGAAACAAGGTAAATGGTATGGAACACGAAGCCCAAAAAACATGTGGGAAAATTGTCCGATGTAAGAAATGTGGTTCAGTCACTCCTTGGTAGGGTTAGGGGTTTAGCCCAACTGTGGAGCCACAGCTCACTGCCCCCCTAGAAACATACTGTGCTGAGTTCCATCCCCCCTTAAGAAACAAAAAGGAAACCGGAGTGAGCAAAGGGACATTTATTTACATTTCTACAAGAAGAGGGTGTGTGATACCCTCCAAAAAAGAAAAAGGGACACACACACCGACAGATGCCAGAGCAAGCCTTTTATGCAGTTAGTTCCTTCTTGTCCCTCCCTGCAGAGCCATGGTGATTGGGCTCTGGTCTTCTCGGTTACAATCTTCCTGATGCTCCCACTTAATAACATGTCCCTCCTCCCGCTAACATATGAAATGTGCCTAGTTTTGTGCTATTGCTCTCCTCTGGGCAGAGAAGTTAGTATTAATGAGCCCATTATGCATATGCACTCTAAGTGAAGCTTAACCTTTGTCCTACTTCCAGCCTTTTTAACCAAACAACCAGTTTCATCCATTTTCAATCAGTTCTAGAACCTCTGAGCTACTTTTTCTCTCAGTTTCCTTATATGAAAACATAATGGTTTCTTACAATTTTTTTCCAACTTGGTAGAATTATATTTCTTTAGTTTGAAACAAGGTAAACAGTATGGAACATGAAGCACAAAAACCATATGGGAAAATTGTCAGATAAACAGAACCATTTAAGAATCACTTCAAATGACTGAATCAGCAGCAGTGGCAGCAGCAGTGCTGCTCCTGGAGCTATTAGTTCACAGACTGAATGTTTGAAAGTCACCTATTTGGACTTCTGGGAGCCAAGATGGCAGAATAAGCAGTAAGTCTCTCACACCCTCCCTTACTGACCTTGAAAAACCCAGAGAATATTGCTCTAGGAAAAATCCTGAAATAGTAGAGTCAGCAGAAAGACTAGATACAGTCTTTCAGCCCATGAGGCTAGGGGGATTAAAGGGAAAGGGCCCCATTTGCTATGGGTGAAGGGGACCAGTACAGGAAGGGAGGCATCCCAGCAAGCTAGTGGCAAACCCCACCTCAGCAAACCAGTAACCAAGCACCTAACCCTTTGCACAAGAAGCCTAGGACAGTGCCCCCTGTGCCTCAGAAGCAGAGATCAACTTTAAAAGCCAGAAAAAAGGCAAAGAACATGAGCAAGAAGCAACATAGAAAAACAATGACCATAGAAAAGTATCTCAGTGACATGGAAGATCAAAACACAAATGCAGGAGAGCATAACATTATCAATATATCCATATCTGAAACTTCAGAGGGGAATATAAACTGGCCTCAAGCCCAAAAAGGCTTCTTGGAAGAGCTCAAGAAGGATTTTAAAAGTCAAATAAGGGAAGTAGAAGAAAAATTAACAGTTCATTCATAAACTGTCCCATAAAACAGAAGTGGATAGCAGAAAGGATTAAAAAGCATAATACTACAATATGCTGTTTACAAGAAATATATTTGAAACAGAGGGATACACACAGCATAAAGGTAAAAGGCTATAATAGATCATGCATCACCTGAAGTAAAAAAGCAGGGGTAGCAATCCTGATCTTAGACAAAGCAAAAATAGCTTATTAAAAGAGATAAGGAAGGAAACTACATCCTGTTAAAAGGCACCATGGACAATAAAGTAATATCATTACTAAACATATATGCACCAAGTGGTATAGCATCCACATTCTTAGAGAAGAAGTTCAAGGAGTTACAGGAAGAAATAGCAAAACTATACTAGTGGGGGACCTTAACCTCCCCCTCTCTGAACTAGATAAATCTAATAACAAACAAGAAAAAAGGTAAGGAGGTGAATAAAATTTTAGAAAAGTTAGGTATGGTACTCCTCTGGAGAAAATTGAATGGGGATAGAAAGGAGCATACTTTTCTCAGTGGTATATGGCACTTACACAAAAATTAACCCTGTACTAGGGCATAAAAACCTCACAATCCAAAGCAGAAAGGCAAAAATATTATATGCATTCTTTTCAGATGATAATGCAATACAAATTACATATAATAAAGAGCCATGGAAAGATAGACTAAAAATTAATTACAAACTAAATAATCCTAAAGAATGAGTGGATCCAACAATAAATCATAGAAACAATCAATAATTTATACCATATACCAAAATAAAGTCAAAATGAGTAGACAATTTAGATATAAAGGCTAATACTAAAACCAAACTGGGAGTACAAGGAATAGTTTACCTATCAGATTTATGGAGAACAGAAGAATTTATGAGCAAACAAGAGACAGAGAACATTATGAAATGCAAAATGGATCATTTTGATTACATTAAATTGAAAAGGTTTTGCACAAAACCAATGCAACCAAGATTAGGAGGGAAGCAGAAAACTGGAAAGAATTTTTACAACCAGCGTCTCTGATAAGGATCTCATTTCTAAAATATATAGAGAACTAAGTCAAATTTATATACAAGTCATTCCCCAATTGATAAATGGTCAAAGGATATGAACAGGCAGATTTCAGATGAAGAAATTAAAGCCATCTATAGTCATATGAAAAAATGATCTAAACATTGATTAGAGAAAGGCAAATCAAAACAACTCTGACAAAATAGGAAAACGATAAATGTTGGAGAAGACATGGGAAAATTGGAACCAACAGGAGGAACAAGAAAGAAGAAACAAAACAAAACAGAAGAAGAAAAAAAGCAAATAGTATGCTTCAATTTGCATTCAAACTCCTTAGTTCTTTCTCTGGATATGGATAGCATTTTCCATCATGAGACTTTTAAAGATGTCTTAGATCCTTACCTTCTGAGAAGAGCTAGGTCTATCAAAGTTAGTCATCGTACAGTGTGGCTGTTACTGTGTACACCTCCTAATGCATTGTTGGTGGAGTTGTGAACTAATCCAACCATTTTGGAGAGCAATACCACTTCTAGGGCTGTATTCCAAAAAGACATAAAAATAGGAGGACTCACATGTACAAAAATATTTATAGCAGCTTTATATTTCTGTGGTGGCCAAGAATTGGAAATTGAGGGAATGCCTATCAATTGGGGAATGATTGAACAAGTTGTGGTATATGAATATAATGGAATACTATTGTGCTATAAGAAATGATGAGCAAGCAGACTTCAGAAAAACCTGGAAAGACTTGTATAGACTGATGCTGAGTGAAGTGAGCAGAACCAGAACAGTAACAGCCATCTTGTGTGATGACTAACTTTGATAGACTTCGCTTTTCTCAGCAATACAAGGATCTACAACATCTCCAAAAGTCCCATAATGGAAAAATGCTATCCACATCCAGAGAAAGAAATATGGAGTTGAATGCAAATTGAAGTATACTATTTGCTCTTTTTTTTTTACTTCTTGTTTTGTTTCTTCTTGTGGTTCCTCCTTTTGATTCTAATTATTCTTCACAATATAACTAATGTGAAAATATGTTTAATAGGAATGTATATGTAGAGCCTATATCAGATTGCACAGTATACTGGGGAGGGAGGCGGGGAGGGAGGGGCAGAAAATTTAAAACTTCCAAGTTTATGGAAGTGAGTGTTCAAAACTAAAAATAAAAAATAAAGTGATAAAAAAAGAATCACTTCAAGTAAAGAATGGTATATTCTTTAATTAGGATATTTATTCTTTGGCTAAAAGTTCATTTAAAATTTTAAGTGAATTTATTTTTTTTTCAGTCAACACTTAAAATGGTAATTTAAAACTCTTAAGTATCTTTAAGATGATTTTAAAAGCATGGCAAACACACCATAGTTGACTTTAAAAGTGTGGCAAACACACCATCATGAATATAGTTTTAGCCATATTATTATTCAGTCATTTCAGTCGTGTCGGACTCTTCAGGACCTCATTTGGAGTTTTCTTGGCAAAGATACTGGAGTGGTTTGCCATTTCTTTCTCCAGCTCATTTTACAGATAAGGAAATCGAGGCAAACAGGATTCAATGACTTACCCAGGATCATACTGCTAATAAGTGTCTGAGGCCAGATTTAACCCAGAAAGATGAGTCTTCCTGACTTCAGGCCCAGCACTTTATCCACTGTGCCAAAACCCAAATAATACACCTCTTAATTTTTCTAGAATTCTAAAATGATGTCATGCCTTTTTCAATTGCCTGTAGCAACAGTTTACCTCTTTCTCCATATCTTTATAAACAAAAAGGCCTGGGGAAAACATTTTTAAATAGCACAACAATAAATTTGTGTAACAAAGTTAACTAATTTAAACTGCATAAGTAAAGTTTTTAAACCAAAGAGAAAAAACAAAACAGAAACACCAAATTGACAAATACAGCTTTATTGTATGTTAATATGATGGTTCATGATCTTCAGGAGTATAAATTCAGCATAAGACAATCAAGCATTCATAATTAAAATTCATTTACATTTACAAAATGCCTTTTAAAATAACTTGTTAGTTTGAAGAACAAATTATGAGAAATGTTAAAGCCTATTAATTCAGTATTTGCCAGTGGTATTTGATTTTATAATCAGTTTTTTTCTTTATATTTTCAAAGGATTTCCAGAACTCAACAGATAAAGCACTGGTTCTCAGTTGCATATAAAAAATTAAACTGAAATAAAATTGAAGGAAAAGCTGAGAAAAGCAATCATATATGATGTCAAACCACCTATGAAGAAAGTAAAATGTAAAATCAATTTAAAAGCAACGTGTTTTTTCTACATTATAAATATACATATGAACCAAGTTGGGCTACTAAAATTTTCAAACTCTATAATTCAATCCAAGACTGGATCATGTCTTACTAGGTTTAGACTGTTTCTCAGATTTAACCTGCTATGCAAATGGTATTGAAATAGAAGGCTTTTTCCTTACTAATATGGCATACATGATATCTGTTTAAAAAAAAAAAAGCACAAAACATCCCCCTCAAGTTCTTCATAGTCGGGACTTGAGTTCCATGACAATTCAAGAGATGAAATGAAACCGTAGTTCAAATGCAATGCTATCAATTATAATATTAAAAGTAAATTACTATCATAATTTACTTATGTTAATCCTACTTTAAAAATACTAATATTTTTATGTCAGATAATAGTATGTTTCTGCCTCACATAGAAACTATTCAAGAGCCCTTGTTATTCCCCAAAAAAAGTGATTTAGGTGTAACTATAGCTACACATTTAATTAATTATAGAATTGATATATGCCAATAAAATACATAACTGAATCATGTCATAAGTATGATCATCATACATACAACAATATCAAAAATAATATTCAAATTAAAGTATACAATATGCAAATTTTTAATCTGAAAAATAAATAATTTTTGTGGTCTATTCATGAAATACCCTTTGAAGAGTATAGTATTCTACCAATATTTTTTGTTTTTATTGCTGTAGATTTTCTCAGTGTCATAACTACTGACTTCCTAGCTGTAAGACACATGTTTTTGGAAGCTGCATTAACTTTTGATGCAATTAAGGTACTGTAAGTTTTAAAAATTGTACTGAAAAAGAATGAGGGAAACCTGAAAGAGATAGTATAGCTTTGAAATGAGTCAAAATGTTACCCCTGATCATTGAAATAATTTGCTGTTTGTATGTCAAACATATGGGAAGAATTCTTTAAATGGATTTTCGTATAAGAATATAATTTTACTTACAAAAAATGTACTGGTCAATAAAATATTTCAAATCTCTTTCAAACCAAAGAAAACGGTTCAACAAAAATTGAAAATTCTTACTGGATAATATATTCAATTAGTATAATTTGGTGTAAAATAACTTTTAGGTTTGCTATAAAAAAAGAAATATAATATAAAAAAATCAGAGCAAATAAGGAGGGATACTTTAAGAATAATTTACTATTTTTATAAAGCCATATAAATATATCCTACTTGTACAGATGTATTTGTCTAAGTCTATTCTACCAAAACAAAATAGGGATACTGACAATTTACAGAAAACAGCAAAACTTAAATTATATTAATGCAAACTCTCAGAGAAAATTTTAGAAAAATAGAAAAATATAGTTTAAAACTTTAGTTTTTAATTCCCAGGATTTACCCCAACATGCATATGTATCTTACAAAAATATTTTTAAAATGTAAACTATAGAAATATTGTTTATTATTAAACAAAATATCAAAGGGTCCCAAGTCCAAATGCTTTTTGCCTAAAGGTGTTTTCCTTCAGGTCTATTGCCATAGATGTTCACTTAAACTGAAAGGTCAACATTTTATGTTAATTTGGTTCTAAATGCTTTAAGCCTATCATATTATCCCTTTGCCTCTTTAAATAATGAAGAGCAAGTATAAATAGTAACTTAACTGCAAAGTAGTAAAATTGATGAATTAGGTCCTGTGGAACTTAACAGATCTCTGGAAAAAATCTGAATGAACCAAAAAGATATCATGTCTGCAAGTTACCAAAGTTCAGAATATTTTCTTATTTGCAAAAACAAATTGTCCTTAAGTTAATCTACTCATTAGTAACTTGTCTGTCTTGACAAAAAACACCACATGAAAATTAATTATGAACTAAAATCATCGCCAGTATCACTGTTAAGTGCCTGAGGTACTGGTGGCAGAGGCTTTCCACAGAGATCTACAGAAAAAGAAAAGAAACCAAGACATAATTAATCCAAATTTACTACCATTATTTCTATTTTCACATAACATTCTTTTCCCAGGCAACCCTAGGCTTCAGGGGAAAGGGGCTGGCGAAAAACTCAACACATTTTCTTAGATATTTCTAACAAAACAAAAGTTTCAACCCCTTGGATAAAAGCCTGACTCTGTACCTGGTGTTCAGTTTGACTTGGATTTCTTAACAGCATCAAAAGGTATGTAACAAACCTGAATTACTTTATTTCAAGAATCAATTTACATCCTAGTAAATTAACCTAATAAGATAGCATAAAATACATTATCTTCCTTGAACTATAATAACCCTGTAAAATGGTCTAGCTTTACTTAAGATAACTGACATAACATTAAAACTTGCTATTTTAAGTGAATTCACTGCTAATGAAGAGATAAGTAACTATCAACTCTCAACTACTCCCAAGTTACACTCTAATACTGCCTCACACTTTGAGAGAAATGGTACAGCACAGCACTATGAGAGAAATGGTACAGCACAGCACTATCAGAGAAATTCAGGCCCATTTGAAATAAAAGAGGAAGGAACATGTCTTATTTTGTACTTCATAATAAATTCTTATTTCTTTACTAATAAAAGCGACTCCTACATCCACACAAAATGAATATATTAAAATATTAATAAGTAAAAATCTATTTATCCAAAAGTTCTACAATGATAAAGTTGTATTAATAAAGAAACATCAGATGGCCTAAATTAATTTGGTTAACTTTATATCCTCTTTTTACTATACTTTTGAATCTAAAATGAGCAATTTTTAATGCATGATAAATATATTTAACATATAATGTAACTAATGTATAAATAAATACAATATTGTTTGACATATAATCACCATTAATCCAAAGATAAATTACAATTTACTCTAATACTTTTTATCTTAAGGCATTTCAAGATAAATCAGTCCACAAGCATTTATTAAGCCATCTAACATGTTCCAGGCACTGGGGAAACAACTACAAAGAAGAAATATATCTGTACTCCCAAAGAACCAATTTCAAATTTGTGTTCCTTTTTTTAGTATATAAGAAAAGTAGAAACACTGTCTTTTTCCAGCTGACTTTCTATGAAGCTAAGTGTAGATGTTTTTTTTGTTAGAAAATTAAAATTATGTAACATTTCACTTTTTGCTTTAAATTATTAGTCTAATATAATATTCATTTACAATAAACATTTTCTCTCAGGTACTTGGTAGTAGATGCCTCTGCTCTCTTCAGATAGCCATTTAAAAACAAAAATTATTACTGACTACTCTATTTCTGTACTATGTGAAAACCTATAAGCAACAGTTACAAATTCTAAAAAATAATAAAATAGTCACTTTGGGGGTCACATAATATTTACACATTACTAAAATTGACATTTGATTATGCTGATAGAAATCAAAACATCAAGGAATATGAAGTTTAAGTGATATAACTTATAAAAAGTGCTAGTAGTTCATTAATATATTAAGTATATACATTGTATCTTCTCTGCTTATAAAATATGACAAATATTTTAGTTATTTTCATTTGGCATCATGAAGAATCTTTGTAAAATGATAGATCATAAATGGAATACTAATTTTCTAAGATGGATTAAACAAGTTAGCTAATGAATAATGATTTCTTTCATGAAGTCTGTGCTTTGAATGTATATACACACATACATATACATTCATTTGCAGCAAACAAATGAAATTTTTGATGAAAAAAAGCCAAAATGGGGCTACAGTCATACTATTATTAAGGTAAATGCCTAATATAAAAGCTCAACTAAGAAGTTTCCTTGACCATTAATTTTTAAAGTAACCACAGGAAATTGGTGAGAAACCAAATAAGCCAAATAAATTAGTTCCTAACTATCCTTTTTGTATTAGTTCTGTCTTTAATTTTTCCATTTGCAACTTACTGCTTTTATTAAGACACCAGCAAGGAAGAAAAGATAAAAAATAACTATTTGTCAGCTTCTCTAGCAAAGGAAGGCCTAGGGTGGTAAAAACCAGTGAAACTCATGTTTAAATTAGTATTTAGGAGATTATTTTTAAATTTTTATGTGCTGTATATTTCCCCACAATCAGGTATAGAACTGACTTTAGAAACATGCAGTAGAGACTTTAAACAGTATTCAGATTAATACATGCAATACATGCAAATTAAAAGAGATGTCATGAACAGAAATCTGTGGAAATTGAAACAAACATTTAAATCTTTCAATGCAAAAATGTGTTTTTTCAAAACTCATTTAATAATACACACTGGAAATTAAAAGATACCCTATGATATATTTAAAACCCAAATATCTAAAATAATATTATTTTCTTCATGTTCCCTTGCTTAAATAATAAAATAAATAATAATAATAATTTTAATAATACAATCCTCAAGAGGAAAAGATTTTTATTTTACTATTATATGACACAAGTTTATCATTTTATATCCTCTTTGTCTTTTTAAATTTATTTATTTTTAGTTTTCAACATTTACTTCCACAGGATTTTGAGTTCCAAATTTTCACCCCATCTCGCCCCTCCCCCCACCCCAAGATGGCATGCATTCTGAATATCCCTTCCACTAGTCTGCCCTCCCTTCTATCTCTCCCCCCCTTCTCTTATTCCCTCTTCCCCTTCTGCTTTGCTGTAGTGCAGGATAGATTTCTGTACCCCATTTCCCATACTTCTTATTTCCCAGTTGCATGTGAAAACACATTTTTTTAAAAATGTGTTTTTAAAACTTTGGGTTCCAAATTTTCTCCCTTCTCCCTGTCCACCCACCCTCATTGAAAAGGCAAGCAACTCAATATAGGTTATACATGTGCAGTCACGCAAAACACTTCCATAGTAGTCATGCTGTGAAAAACTACCTCTATTTCCCTTAATCTTATCCCACCCCCCCATTTATTCTATTCTTTCTTTTGACCCTGTCCCTCCTCAGAAATGTTTGCTTCTGATTATCCCCTTTCTCAGTCTGCCCTCCTCTCTATCATTTCCCTGCTCTCTTGTGCCCTTCTCCTCCTATTTTCCTGTAGGGTAAGACAGCTTTCCATACCCAATTGAGTGTGTGTTATTCCCTCCTTAAGCCAAATCCTATGAGAATAAGATTCACTCATTCCTTCTCACCTTCCTGTTTCCCCTCCACTGTAAAAGCCTTTTGTTTTTTTGTGAGATAATTTACTCCGTTCTACCTCTCCCTTTCTCCTTCTCCCAGTATAATCCTCTCTCACCCCTTAATTTTATTCTCCAGATATGACCCCTTCAACTTCAACTCACCCTGTGACTTCTATCTATCTATCTATCTATCTATCTATCTATCTATCTATCTATCTATCTATTTATCTAATACATACATATAATTTTTTCCCTCAAGCTACCCTAATACTGACAAAGCTATCATGAGTTACAAATATCTTTCCATGCAGTAATGTAAACAGTTCAACCTTAATAAGTCTCTTATGATTTCTCTTTCCTGTTTACCTCTTCATGTTCCACTTAAGTCTTGTATTTGAAAGTCAAATTTTCTATTCAGTTCTGGTCTTTTCATCAAGAATGTTTGAAAGTCCTCTATTTCACTGAATATCCATTGTTTTCTCCTGCAGGATTATATTTAGTTTTGCTGGGTAGGTGATTCTTGGTTGTAATCCTATCTCCTTTGACCTCCAGAATATTATATTACATGCCCTGCAGTCCCTTAATGCTGCCAAATCTTGTGTTATCCTGATTGTGTTTCCACAATACTTGAATTGTTTCTTTCTGGCTGCTTGTAATATTTTCTCCTTCATCTGGAAACTCTGGAATTTGGCTACAATATTCCTAGGAGTTTTCCTTTGGGGATCTCTTTCAGGAGGAGATGGGTGGATTCTTTCAATTTTTATTTTGCCCTCTGGTTCTAAAATATCAGGGCAGTTTTCCTTGATAATTTCTTGAAAAATTATGTTTAGGCTCTTTTTTTGATCATGGCTTTCAGATAGTCCAATAATTTTTAAATTATCTCCCCTGGATCTATCTTCCAGGTCAGTTGTTTTTCCAAAGATATATTTCACATTGTTTTCTAATTTTCCATTCTTTTGGATTTGTTTTACAGTGTCTTGATTTCTCATAAAGACACTAGCTTCCAATTGCTGTATTCTAATTTTTAAGGAAGTATTTTCTTCGGTAAGTTTTTGGACTTCCTTTTCCATTTGGCCACTTCTGCTTTTGAGGGCATTCTTCTCCTCACTGGCTTTTTGGACCTCTTTTGCTATTTGGGTTAGGCTATTTTTTAAGGTGTTATTTTCTTCAGTTTTTTTTGGGTCTCCTTTAGCAGCACTCTCAGTTTTTCCTCTACTTCTCTTACTTGCTTATCAAAATCCTTCCATGGCCTGGGACCAATTCATATTTTTCTTGAAGGCTTTGGATATAGGAGATTTGGCTCCTTCTGGTTGTCTTCTGGTTGTGTTTTGATCTTCTTTGTCACCAAAGTAAGATAATATAGTCTGACTCTTTTTGTGCTGATCCCAGCCAATTACTTGAGTTATAAACTCTTTGTTAAGGTAGGAGTCTGTTTCTGGTGTGGAGAATGTACTGTCCCAAGCTTCAGGGGTTTGTGCAGCTGTTTTCAGAGATACTTCTAGGGACCTGTAAATTTTCAGTTCTTCCAGGGTGCTATGATCAAGGGCAAGGTGTTACTCCTTTCCTGGCCTGTGCTCTGGTCTGTGTAAGATATCCACTCCACAGACACTACAAGCTCCACTGCGCCAGCGCTCCTCCTTGCCCCAGGACCACCACCCAGAACTGTGACCTAGATCCAAAACAGCAAGAGAATCCTGCTCCAACACCAGCAAAGAGATCCCTGAAATCTTCCTCTGATTGGCCTCCCGATTCCCCCTCAATCTGTGGGCAGGAAGCTCAGGAGGCAGCCACCGCCCCAGGCCACTCTCAGTGAATGGAGCTAAGACCACCTCGCTTCTCTCTCAGCACCGCAGAAACAGACTTTTCCCACTGACCTTCTAAGTTGTCTTTGATGTTAGTGGGTTGAGAAGTCTGGAAACTGCCACAGCTGCCTGTGATTCAGTCCTCTGAGGCCCGCTCCAGGGTAGCTGCAGCCTGTGAGCCCATGCTGAACTGCATTCCGCTCACAGCCTGGCGCGATATACCTTTTCCGATCAACCATCCAGGTTGTCTTGGGATGGAAATTTGTTTCACTCTGTCTTTTTATGGGTTCTGCTGCTTTAGAATTTGTTTAGAGCCATTTTTTAATAGGTATTTGGAGGGGTTTAGGAGAGAGTTCAAGTCACTGCTTTCACTCCACCATCTTGTCTCCGCTATCATTTTATATCTTAAAATGAAAATGTTACTATTTTTGAACTGATGGATTACACTCAGTTCTGATTTATTCAGAAATATATACTCCTAACTCAACTCACAGTGATTCAGATAAATTCTAAAACTAAAATACTAGATTCATTTAATTTGTTATATTCTAAATCAAAGTGAAGGAAAAGCTTGGGCCTTAAAAAAATAAAAATTTCTAATTATTTGATTTATATCCACAGTTATGAAAAATTTTTTGAAACACCAAGCAACAGGTGATCTGTTTGAGATGGCTGAAATGGCGAGAAAATTCCTTACTTTTATGATATTTTACACATTTTTATATCATTTCAAACTTGCCTGATAAAAACTATATATCAAACATAAGACTTTTTTCTAATAAAGACAAATCTATACCTATACCTATAGATCTGGTATAGAACCAGAACAAGGAGCTGAATGCTTTTAATGGATGCTTGAATCAAACTACAGCAGCCTGCTTCCGCAAATGTATATTTCCAATGCTTCACCATAGTGTAGAACTAGCCTTGGGTTTACAATTCAATCAACAAATATTCATTAAGTGTCCTCCAACAAGTTGTCCTCTATGTATTTGTTAAGATCTATTCAAGATTTTTCTATACAGGACACTGTACTAAATGCCAGAATGCAAAGACAAAAATTAAACAGGCCCTGCCTTCAAAGAGATTACAGTCTAAGTATACAACTCTGGAGTTCTACTATACTACAAAGTATGGTCCTAATAACTGAATTTGTATACCATTCAAGACCAAGAGAAGCTAAGTATAGAGTAGTTTATCAAAAGTAGACTAGCGACTAGATGTAAATGCCATGAAACGATGCAAAGTAAAAAATGGGACTTAGTCCCTTACAGTTCTGTAGTAATGATAATAGAGTATCAGAAAAAATAGCAGAGGATACTATGAATCATGCTATTTTTAGAAACTAAATGTAAGATCCCTGCTCAGTGACCAATAAGTCAGTATTCTACTAAAGGAAATGAACCATGTCAACAAATTTTTGCTGTGAATAAAACTAGAAGATATGGGAGGGGAGCACAAACTCTTTTTCTTAGAGGGACAACTAAAAGAATGGATAGAGTTCATTTTATTATGCCCCCAATGGCAATTAACAAAAAACATCTGACCATCTTGCCTGTCTGTGCTCCTGATAAGTATTAGCAAAAAGTCATAAAGATAAGGCAGTTTATTCTTCAACATCTGTTGCAGAGGATGAGGAAGTAGACAAATTCTACAAAGATCTCAATAAGATCCTGCAAACTACATTAACATCTTAATACTCAATAATTGATTAATAGAAGAGAATGGTGGGGGGAAAGTGTGTTGGAAAATACTAGGGTTAAAATATGAAAAGACCAAATGTTTTTGAACTACAGAAAAGGCTCACACTTCTGTAAATCATGAACACTTCAAAAAGACAATGCATTTAGAAGATGCCAAATGATGACCACCGAATATTATCACACACAAAAATTAAAAAAAAAACCCTTACTAGGATGACAGGTTAACATTGTGGAAGTAATTTCTGAATCAGCAATCTATGCAGTCAGATTGACTTGTTAGAGCAAAGATCAAAATCAAAGACAAATAAAAAGGATAAAGACAAAAAGCATGTAATTAGAGCAGCAAGTTATTAATAGATACCAAGAAACTCAAAATAAAAAAGGGAAAGCTCAACATGGAATGTCTGTATTTCCTATAAAAGTTTGCCATGACAAGGAGATCAAAGAGCTCACAAATCATTTTAGCAGACCACCAAGTACCCACATGGTTGCCAATCACACAGTATCACAAATACTCAATATTTTTGATAATCCACTGAGTCTATCAGGGCCCAAACAATGTCCAAATGGGTTTGGCTTGGGACCTATTGTTAGTCAATCAGGGTTAGCCAGAGTGATCTGAGTTTAAGGCAA